TTGGAATTTTTTCTCATCTGTTACAACTTTATTTTCATAAAACCCATGGTTTTGCAGTTTTGTGTTGCGAAAGTATTTACATATTGATTCAATTATTCCTATACTTACTTGCTTATGCTTATTTTAAAGATATTCTTAATTGATACCCTTATTTGGGGATTTTGAGGTTAGCGGTTCCCCCAAGTTTTTCAGCTCTAGCCTTCCTGGTATGTTGGTAAACTTCAGAGTATTTAGCTAAACTGAAATCAGTGCTACTGCTTTTCCATTTGCTGGCTGCACTAAATGTAGAGCTTTTAGACACCTGTTGCTGTTTTAGAGTCCTAGTCTACCATGCTCAATTCTGCATTTCCTCTGAAATATTTTCTGGATTTCTGGGCAGCACTGAGAATGATAAATATTGGTTTTGGGATCCAAGGGTAGCTACCTCAGCATTAAAAGTTCGTCCTGTATAGAATGAGTCTCCTCCAAGTCTCACAGACTTCAAGGAGGCTACATGCAAGTTGCATGACTTCTGAAAAATTGAGGTCTCTGGCTTGGACTTGGCATTTCATTGTATGCAGAATTGTCATCTTCCTCAGGCTTCCTTGCCAAATAAATTGCTTTTCATCTTCTCTCTGTGTTCTGGGTAAGAAAACAGCAGCATGTCAAGGTTAATTCAGTAAAGGGAAAAAAAGAGAGGAGCAGGCTGTGTTTGGAGAGCTAAGGGTTAAAATATTTTTAAGAGTTTTCTTGGATATGGAATCATTTTTGTGGCTTCCAAGTTTTAAAAGCTCTGTAAAAGTCAGACCTTAGTATTCTAAGAATGTTCAGCTCTGTTTCTCTCTGCGAGAAATAAATGCACCCATGCCTGCTGGGGGGGTGGTCCTTCTTTTTTTTCTTTTTTCCTTTTTTTTTTTTTTTTTTTGATTAGGTGGACTGAGGAACTCTGCAAACTCTCGGATTGCAGTGGGTTTTGTAAACTGATCATTTGCCCCTCAGGCACCTTGTGCTAACTAATGCTTTGTTTAGACAGTATCAATCAGCCATGTTTGAAAACTTGCTGGTGTTTGTTTTCCACCCTAAGCATCTCTCCATGCACAGCCATCACCAGGTGGGCTGTCACTCACCACTGAGCTGGCAGGATCTAGAGCTCCCCTCTAACCTTCCCACTCCCAGCAGCCCGTGCCTTCTCCACTCCAGTCTCTTCCTCGAGTGGGGAAGGGGCTAATGGGCTGCTCACCCAAGAACATCCCATGGGCAAGCTGCTCCATGCCTTGGATCCAAATCCTCACCCCACTCTTTAAGCTGTGATGGAGAGGTGGGGCAGCAGCAAGATGAATCAAGCACAAAACACTGGAAAGTTGCTTACACGGGTTCTTATTCCCAAACTCCCCACTGCCACCCCAGTGGCGTGGTCCCGTACCACCAGAGGAGAGAAGCCGAGAGGACAAGTATAGCAGACAGTGGCTGGAAAGGTCAGTGCCAATGTGATATTCTGGCCAGGGGATGACTAGGTGTTGACTGTAGAAGCAGAGTGAGTTTTATTTATTAAGTCCTGGTGCCAAATTTCCTGGTCTATGTGTACTGTGTTGTGTTTATAACTATGTCTCATGATTTTACGAGATTTAACTCCATGTACTCAGGATTTTCTTGTTCTTTGCTTTGGGACAACTGCGTCTTGAGTATTAAATCAACCTCACATGGTTAGAGGAGGCTTTGCTTTTCAGCTGCTATTACTCCATTTTGCTTTATCTGTCTTGTTGGTTTAGAATTCAGACATTTTCTTTTTCTACACAGATGTGTCCTAGAGGTTTAGTTAACATGGGTAATTTGCAGCTCAGTTTGTTTTAAACTTCTGTTGAGATATACTAAATGGATGAGGTAAAGCTCAGGGCACTGCACATCTGGCTTACCCAGGCAATGAAACACACTGAGTGGAAACTTCAGGAAATTAAAATATAAACTTCCCTGCCCCTTTTCCTGCAGGGGCAGGAGAGGGGATGGGTCTGCCTGCTTGCATATGCCATTATGGTATGTTAACACTTTCGGTACTCAGAGATACATTATATTTCCCTCCTGCTTGAGCCTTTCCAGTTAGATAGCAGCATCACGGGTAAATGTGATGCCTTGGGATTTGTATGTTCGTGACCTGGGAGGTCAAAACCCTCCTGTAAGATATACGCTGGCATCCAAGAAAGCCGATCGTCTGGAAGTCCCCTGCTTGAACTTTTGTCAGCAGATTGTCTTTTCTTCTGCTCTTCTTTCCCTTGGGACTGAAAAGATTGTTTTTAAAGGAGATCCCAGGTTTTAGATTAGCATGCCCTAAAATCAAAACTTCTCCAAAATCCCTTATGTGAAAAGAGCGTTTTGTTCCTGTGTCTTAAAAATGTGAGAAGAAGCCAGTGAGCCTCATGCCGTTCCCCCAGGATTACTCAAGTGCTGTCATGCTTTTAAATTTAACAAGTCTGACTCTGTAGCGTTTTACATACTCTTATGTGCATTGCATACATTCAGCCCTGGCTTGGCATTTTGTAAATAAGACAAATGCACAGCTCTTATCAGTGCATGTTACAGTGAGCTGCTTTTATCATATTATCATATTTTGTTTCAGAGTTTGTATGAAAAGGCTGGGGAGGATATTACAAAATCAAGGGATAATTCCCATTCTAAGCCCATGTGCAAAACAAAGCCACACAAAAAAAGTGGTATCTACCACACTTTAAATTTCTGAATTAAAAATGTGTTCTGCCAGGTGTAGCTGGCCTCCCTCCGCAGGAGCAGGAATCATTACATATAGGCAGCAGCCATCTGAAAGAAAAATTTAGATTGACAAAGAGAGAATTTATTCAGGATCACAAAAGTCCACTAGATCCTGGAGTCCTGACCTCCTCTGTAATTCAGACTGTAAGACTGCATCCAGATACTTCTACAGAGAGAAAAAAACCAGGGCATTCACATAATTAATGCAGATGTTGGCAAGCTTTTATAAGGGCCACTAATTCATTCGTATGACTTCCTCTCTCCCTCAAGGGTTCTTATACTTGACCTGTTATTACCACACGGTCTTTAACCAAAGAATTAATGCCAGATGTCTTGTAGCTAGGTCTCCCTTTGTTAAGTATTCCTTATAAATCTTTTTTTTTCAATGCAACAGAGGTCCTACATGAGAACTTTTTAAAATTCTTAAATAATTAAGGAAGAAAGTTTTCTAACCTAAGAGTTGATTTATCTTAGAGGAACAATAAAAGTTTTATAGTCACTGTGCTGAGAAATACTGTTTACTCTAGCTTTTTATTATCCTGGGTCTGCAAATGTTTCTGATTGATGTTTAGGTTGGAGGTAAAATCATTCTTAAAAGACCTTTTTCTTTAACATAAATCTAAATGTCATGTAATGCATTTGGGATATAGGTGGAAAGTTTTATATGTTGCTTTATTGGAATGAGCTTAATTGTGTTGACAAACAGGGAAATGAAAGGAAACAGAAATAGCTTTGGTTAATTCTAAGGAAATCTTTACCTGATACTATTTTCACTAAAGTCCAATTACTAATTCTGTTTCCCAATTCTGTACATTTTTGGTTTCAACATGAAGGTTAGGTTAGCTGTAGCATTTCCTGCAGAATGGCTGGAGCTGTCCAAAACATGGGGTTTTGTTTGCATGTTTTAGTGGGAAAAAATTCCTATCTTTTAGTGTTGTTGATCTGCTCTTTGGTTAGGCTTACTACCCGGTTTTCTTGCTAAAACAGCTCCTCTTTTTGTAAAGATTCAAGTTTAGTCAGTAGAGTTTCACAGCCATAAAAGCACGTTGTCAGAGCCAGCTCTCCTGGGTCTCTTTCTAAAGAGGCTTTTTTGACCCGAGTTTCTTGTTTTGTTTTTTTTTTAATTATTATTTTTACATCCTCATAGTTAAGCCATGCTAAACAAGGAACTAGTATGTTATTCAGAGGGGTTTCTTTTTCTAAAGTTTGTGTTTTGGGAATTGCACCTTGAGTAATTGATTATAACTGAGGAAGGAAACTCATTAAGAATTTTCTTGTTAGCCAAGAGTTTTATGCAAAGCGTCTACATTCTGGTGGGTTATGGGGCTTGTTTCTTGCACCCATAGCTGTGCTGCTGAGTACTCTGCAATGAAAATTAATCATGTATTCCCTGACATAGCCATAACAATACTTAATGCAAGAAATAAGGTTTGATGCTTTTAACACTAGTTAGGTCAAATACTGCTTTTCTGATTTCTTGCCTCACTCCTATTTCAAATTGGAATAAGCCAGTTCAGATGAGTTATGCTTAAAAGCATGGTGTATTTCAAACCCTGTTTAGAAACGTGGCTGATGGAAAAAGAAGAATGCTTATAGAAATACAGTGGCATGCTTCTTATTGTTTATAAATGCACTTCATGCCTTATGGACAGACACAGCCCCTGGCCCTGGCAATTCACAGTCTTGGAGCATATTAATGATCTTAACTTAGGGTGTTCTTCCCAGTTTTTAAGACAGGACAAGAAGGAATGCCCCTGATGGAGACCCAAATGAGTCAAAACCTGCTGGGAAATGTAATCCACTTTTCCTCCTCTTTGAGGAGCTCTTCTTTTAACACCGCTACAGCCAAACAATAGTTTCATGCACTGATAACGTAAATAAGGTGTCATGTAACAGAGTTAACTTTTCTTAATTACAAATTGCATGCCCTTTTCTCTAACTGAATTTTTCAGCAGGTCTGCTTGGCCAGAAGCTCGTTTGCTATGCAATTTACAACTACGTCAGAAATCATGCTAGCTCCCAGAGCAGATGGAAGCATTTCTGGTTGTTTCTAATCTGGTTGCTGTTACTAGACTCCTCAGAGCAATTGTTTGCGAGTTGTGGAATGCCATTTGGTCTGAAAAAATAAATTTGTTCTGAAGCATGTTCCCTTCCTGTCCCCCTCCCTGCTCTCTGTGCATGTCTCGTCTATAGAGGCAATCATATGTTTTCAGTTCTGATGTCATTTTTTTTCTCTCTTTTTTTCCCCCCTCTTCTTTCAGTCCACAGCCATGAGCGAACCACAGTGCTACTACAATGAAACCATTGCCTTCTTTTATAACCGAAGTGGAAAATATCTAGCCACTGAATGGAACACTGTCAGCAAGCTTGTAATGGGACTGGGGATTACCGTCTGCATCTTCATAATGCTGGCTAACCTCTTGGTTATGGTGGCTATTTATGTCAACCGTCGATTCCACTTTCCTATTTATTACTTAATGGCCAACTTAGCCGCTGCGGACTTTTTTGCAGGGCTGGCCTACTTTTACTTAATGTTCAACACAGGACCCAACACTAGAAGATTGACTGTAAGCACCTGGCTTCTTCGTCAGGGTCTCATTGACACTAGCCTGACAGCCTCTGTAGCCAATTTGTTGGCCATTGCTATTGAGCGGCACATTACAGTTTTCCGAATGCAGCTACATACTCGGATGAGCAACCGGCGAGTGGTGGTCGTAATTGTTGTTATCTGGACTATGGCCATCGTCATGGGCGCCATACCAAGTGTCGGATGGAACTGTATTTGTGATATCACTCACTGCTCCAACATGGCACCACTCTATAGTGACTCCTACCTGGTCTTCTGGGCTATTTTCAACCTGGTCACTTTTGTGGTCATGGTGGTCCTATATGCTCATATCTTTGGGTACGTCCGCCAAAGGACTATGAGAATGTCCAGACATAGTTCTGGACCCCGCAGGAATCGGGACACCATGATGAGCCTCCTGAAGACTGTGGTCATTGTGCTTGGTAAGTGCTTACTTTGCCTCCCCTGTTCTCCCCCCTCTGTTTCTTATCAGGTGATTTCAGTAATGCTTGTCCATCTTCTGGGAGGTCGGCAGCATTTGGAAGACACTAGAGGTGGGGGCAATAAGAACCCCCAGCATTCATTACTGTGTTGGGACTGCCAAACTTAGTTATGGAAGTGGGTATCAGAGACTTGGTCACTCAGCCTTGTAACATGAAACGGATGAAAATCCAGGACCTCCAGATGTAAGGTGGTGGTTTTTTGCAGCAATGCAGTTTTAAAACCTGTTGTAGCAGCCTATCCTGTGCAGTGTTCGCCCTTTTGCCTTTGAAGATGCCAAATGGCTGCAACCTTAAAATAGTACAGGGAAGGCTCAGTCTTCCACTGAAGTACCTGTTGTCTCCTTTTTGCCACTCAAAAGATGTTGTGTGTATTCAGGCAGTACTCCCATGTCTGGAGAACAATGAGGGGCTACAGGCTATTGATGAAAAGATTTTGCATGTTAAGCAGGACTGCATGTACAGTTTGCTCAGGTCTATAATGTTTGGCACATCTGAGTATCTGCCGATTTGCTAATACAGAAAAGTAGCACGTGAGGCACTGCTGTGCTTCAGCACACTGCTCAGGAGGTGCCTAAGGTTCAGGGCTTGGAAAACAGGGAAACATGAGGCAAATATGACACACTTTGGAGTCAGCAGGTTCCTGTCTTTTTTTGGATGGCTGTATTTGGTTTTTGCCTGGGGCTCTCAGTTTCCTAATGCAAAAGCACAGCCTGGATACTGGGTACCATTCCCTGGTGATTTTCTTTGCAGTTTGTTCTGCTCTTTGTTGCTGCAGACCACAATGAGCAGGAATGGTGCTAGTTGTCTCCTTGTCCCAAGCTGTGTTCCCACCCATTATATCCTTCAGAACAGTACACGGGTCTCTTGGGATGCCAGTACCCTGTTGCATCGTGAAGTTGCCCTAGTAGTCCATAAATGCAACTGTACACCGTCTGCAAAGGCCAAAACTTAGCCCCAGTTCTTGCTTTGACATCCTGATTTCCATGGCTTTACACCGTGACTTGTTCTTTCTAGCAGTTACTGTCTGCACAAACACAGCAGAATAGTTGCAGAGATTTGATGTGTCACTGCGTCAACTCATATATTAGTTTAAGAATGTATGTTTTGCTCTCTGACCTAGTGATTAGCATTGTAAACAGAATATGAACTGTATAGTTGACTAACCTGTTCAGCCATTGATAAGTCATATTCCTACGTGTCCTACTCTTCTCTTCAGGGAAAGAATCTCCTATGAGTTTTGCGAGGGAGGCTGTAGTGGTGGGTAAAACCTCTCCTGACTGCCTGGTGGTTCGGAAATCTGTCCCTCCCCACCTCTGTGATCCTCCTCGCAGAAGGCAAGATGAGGTTAAGAACACAAAGAAAATTCAGGTTTTGCGGTCTTTTTAGGAAATAGATCCTTGTTTTCCCTCCTGAATGAATTGCTGTTCATACAGCAGTGGAGTATTTCCTGTGAGGTGAAAGACTGGCTCAGACTTTTAAAAAAAAAAAAAAAAAAAAAAGTGGGAAATAGTAAGCGCTTATACCAGTGCAATGTAGAGTTGTAGGAATAAATAAATAGTCACTGAATAAATAGTACGTGGCAGCTAATCCCAAGCATGTATGGGACTAGAGGAATGTACGCAGCTGGAAGGGTGGGTGGTGAATGCACCCTCCTCCATTCTCCTATGAGCAGAGGTCACAGGGAAGATGTACAGGCCACCAAGTGTGGCCACAACAGTAGAGGTGTACGAGGAACATAAAGTAGCCCTTTTTTTTCCCTAATAAGTACCTTATTTTTTCTAGGTATTTTTTTGGAAACAGTGGAACAACTCCAGAGGTTAAGTAGCATTAGCCAAACTGAAGGTGACTCAAGTTTAGCTACTGATCAGTAATCTCTCTGATTCCTCATTGGGGCTATTTGCAGTATGATTTTTCAGGACTGCAGGTAGCACATGTTGAAGTTTTCTTCAAAACTCAAACAGGACCTTATTTCTTGTTAGTCGTGCAGTTAAAGTCAGTCAGTGTTGTGCACACACTCTGCTTTAGCACCTCTTCTAATCTGCATAAAACACTATTTACAGAGAGAGGTAATGTATTATTTTATTAAATCTGTTTGAAGAAAACAAAGGCACGCCCAGGCTATGACACTCTTCATCCTGTATTTGGATGTCCCACTTCAATATTATTTTGAAAAGGTTGGGTTTTTTTTTTTTCAAACCAGTGTGGTTCCTTTGGTTGGAGGAGGTCAGTCATCGGGTTATTAGTGTAAAGAAGCAGCAACGCTTTCACCTCCCTATCACCTGTGAGACACAGTTGCAAGATAAAAATGGCTGGGAAACAGCTGTGGTTTGGGGGTTTTTTAAATAATAATAATAAAAAAAAAAAAATAGCCCGAAGCCAAGAATCGGGAGCAACCACAGAGACTTTTGAGAAGCTAAATGTTCATACATCAAGGTGTTAAGCAGACTGCTAGCTGAACCATGAGAAAAGTTCATTTGTTGCCATCAGCTGCTGAGTGCTGTCCCATATTCCTGAATATGCACTTCCAGTGGAGGATTGTCTTGTGGTTCTAAAGAAAAAAAAAAGCTAAGCATCGCTTTGAAGCGCATGTTAGGCGATGTTTCAGTTTGGAGTAGACAGTGCGGTCAGCCTGTTGATCAGGCGGATGTCCTGGTGCTCTGGCACTGCTTGCAGTCTGCTTGCAAGTCTGGCTTAAAATTTTCACAAGCAGAAGATTTGATTTCAAGTGTCATACTTCCTGAGTGCCTTCTTGCAAAGGTAGTCAATGCATAGTGCTGCAAGTTTATCTGCTTCAGCTTTGGGAAAGGCAGAAAAGGTGTGTGTGAGCCCACTTACCCCGGAGGAGGCAATTCATTTTTGGAGGAGAGGGAGGGTGCCTTGGGAACCAAGGAAAAACAGAGCTGGGAGTCTGAGTAAACCTATGAGCATTGGCAGAGGGAGACAAACCAGTCCATCTTAGGATCTTTGTTAAAGTGCTGCTCAGCTGTAAGTAACCCCCTTGTGATTTGGGCAGCAATGAACTGTTCGTTTGACTTTTAAACTTCCATAAATGGGTCTTCCTGAAGTTGTCCTGCTGGCTGTACTCCCAGGCAGAGCCTTGCTGCTGCAAGCAGAAGATCATCTTTTCCCCTGTCCCCATCTATGCTACGTTTTGGGGACAGGAGGGGGAGGGAATTAATACAAGAGCTTCTTGTTTGTTAGCTGCCTAACACCGCCTGCCCTCCTCGCGCCTTGCTGCCTTGCTCCAAGAGGAGAAGAGCTGCCCCAAAGGGGGTGCAGTCCTCCTGGCGGCGATGCTGCCAGCATGTGCGGGGCGGATGCCAGCCGCCTCTGACAAGAGGGTGATTGTGTGGGGAGGGCTACAGCCGCTTGACGCGCTGGCTGGAGCGGTCGGGATCTGGCACACTGCGTCATCCCACAGAGCTGGTGGGATGCTGAATCCTAGGAACAAGTCAAAAGCAGAGAACAGATTTTTTTTTTTTTCCCTTTTCATGCCCTTTTGTTTTTTTTTCCTTGAGTAAAATATTTTAAACAGAAGGAAGTGATTTCATAGTTGAGCCCTTTTTTTCTTTTAACGAGGCTGCTTTTGAAATCTTTCGAAAGTAACAAGGGACATAAAGCTCTTTCTCTAGAGCATGCCTTTCCTTTGCGATGGGGCTAAGGCAGGACTGATCTGTGTACTGCACATAGCCATAAAATCGGGTCTGGTTTGGCTTGCAGCTCAATGACACCTTGCCTTTCACCACCACCATGTGTTACGTTTAAATGAGCAATCAAGGGAACAGGCAGAAACGTAGCGGATACAACAGCTGAAAGTTGGCATCCTGTCTTCCATCCTCCACATTCTCTTATCTTACGTTTAAGGACAAAGCTAAACTGTTTTTCTGGCGAAGATCATAGTTAGACTCTGAATGCATTTGACCCAGCCAAATGCAGGTTTGGCCCAAAAATGGATGACAATATCTAACTACTGTTTTAAGAAGCTGTGAAAGCACTGAAAAAGGATTTCAGAGCTCAGGGCTGAAAAAACTAGCTCTGCTCTGGATTTCCACAGCCTGGAATAAGTGTTGAAAGGCTAGAGTCTTTCAGGGGTTCTTACATACCTGCATTTGTAGATAACTACCAGCTTAGATCACTACTGTTGGAAAGTTAGCCTGTACATTCTCCTGCCTAAATGCTGATTAAATACCCATCCTTAATTTGTCAGCTTTTGGTTTTACAATGTGGATAACTCTTCCCTATACCTCCATGCACATCCTTGGGCACTCTTCTCTATTTAGAAGTTAGACTGTGAGATTATGATACAGAGGTTTTATAACTGAATTTTAAATTAGCAACAACCCCTTACGTGTATTTTATCAGTCCTGCCAATTAGCCTTCTGTGTTGGGTGAGTTCTCAATGGTGTTTGGCCAAAATTAGGCATGCCTGTTGAGCCAAGCGCCACAGCCAGACCCCAGGGCATAGGGAGAGCAAACAATGAATTCATAATTGCTTACCCCTTTATGTTCCTGGGAACTAAAAAGACACTTAGGCCTTTCCCGCCTGTAAGACCATCCACTTTGTTTAGAGGAATGTGGTTTATTCTGTAAAATTTGGAAGCTAATGTGGGCACAGATAAAAAAGTGAAGGTTCTTTTTGTATAAACTGTTTTGATTTAGAGGAGTCTCACTGTGTTTGAAGACAGTCCCTTACTTATTATAACGAAGCAATAAATGCAATGAAAACATCTGGAAGTTCACTATAAACATCTGGAAGGGTGGAACTGCTCAGCAACAGCTTCTTTCCCTGCCCTTTCTGCCACAGTTACGAATTGCAGGAGAGACTTATCTTTGTACTTTTGTAGCTTTTTTTCACAACTAGGCACCAAATGGGGATGGAAAGCAGCAAATAACTATGGTAATGCACATGAGTGTCAACATATGCTGTAGCCAGACAGTTA